ATGGTACCGGTTTATATGATACCAGTTGCTGTAATACCGTTTGCTATGATACCGGTTTCCATGGTACCTTTTTTATGGTACCAATTGTCATAGAAAAATTGCTATGGTACCGGTTTTTTGGTACCAGTTCTTATAAAAACAGTTGCTATGGTACCAGTTATTAAGGTTCCGGTTGCTATGGAAGTGGTTGCTATAGAAACAGTTGCTATGGTTTGAAAAAAATTTTCCTTGATACAGTAGTATTTGAAATTTTTTTTTTCAAGTTGCATTAACAGAGAAATATTAAAAAAAGGAGAATTTGGATAATGCAAAAAAGCTCTAACCAGAATAAAACTGCTGTTAAAGTTGCAATATTTATATAGATGAAGAAAGAGCGTAGGATCGCATGAAATATTCAGTTGGTTGGAAGCTGGTTGGCATGACTAGAATTGTGTACGTAGAGGAGAATGTGCAATTTTACAAAGAAGAGAGAGAATTTTGGATAAAATAGGGGGACAGGGGGGTGGTAAATTTATATATACATATATATATATATATATATATATATATTGAAGTAGCCATGTAAAGTGTGAAGAGCGAGTGACCATTGGCCGACGGTCTCGATAGTAGCAACGAACGTTGGTTCTGTGTGTGCACTCGTTTGTTCAATCGATCGAGCTGAAAATTTCCAACCCTTAATTAAGATTGCAAGGGCACTTGAATTTTCAATTAAAAAAGAACCTGCGCTCGTCAGAGTCGTTCAATCCTTTCTATCTCCCTCCCTCCCTCTCTCTCTCTCTCTCTCTTTCACGGCTCTCGTTTCTATGCGTCCTGTTGACAACATTAAATGCAATATCGCTACGGATTTATACTCTTTTTGATTGTAATCTGTCCACTTAGTGTTCTTTTAAAAGCTATATAGTTTTTTATATGACAAAATGTGAAGACTTAAGAGTGGGCACTTTTGAGCTAAATTTTATTTGTCGCTGGTATAATATATTTCTAAAGGCTATATATATATATATATATATATATATATATATACGCTATAGAAAAAAGAAGAAAACGCGCAAAGAATGCCAATTTCGTGGATAATTTTCGCATATTTTTCATATTCATTGAATTCGCACGAGATTTCATGCCATAGTTAATTTCAATTTCTATTTTCTCCAACATTGAGCATTTGGATTTTTATCGATAATGAAAATATGATTTGACCGCAACATTCATTTTGTGAGGAAAAAAAAAAAAATAAATAAACATCAAGATTTCCATATGATTAATCTTTTTTTCAATCAAAATTTTATTCAACACAAAACGCAAAGAATCTTTACTGTTGTACTCATACAATATATTTGTTACAAGAATACAAATTTGATACCGGTTTTTTGGTACCATGTTTTTTTTTAATGAAATCTACAAAAAAAAAAATTCATTTTTAAGAAAATTTGTCCCTTGGAATAATTATTTTTATCAATTAAGTTCTCGTGGTCTATAAACAAAGCCCTGGTTAACATATACACGCCCTATATGATACCAATTTTTGGCACACGTAGAAATTTATCCAGTCCCCGATGCGCATTGATGACACACCCACGTAAACAAATACATGCATTTGGTTAATACTCCACTGCACGACGATGGAACATGAGCTGATTGGGGTGCAACCTATGCAGTTTAATTTATGTCGGAACAGCAGCCAGTTGCATCGTCAAGTATACCAAAATTTCGTGTTTATCATCTTGTAAAAAATTCGAAAAAGTTGAGTGCATTTCGAATAGACAAAGAGAGGGAGAGAGAGATTGTACACAATTGGTCAGTATATATATATATATATATTGTATACCATTGTGATTGTGTATGTATTCGTCAAATTGCATATGTGTTCATGTGGGAAATGTGCGCGAATGAAAACATGATCTGAGAATGTATGTGAATGTTTGTACCTGTATATTACACATCTACAGGTTAACGGTCCGCCATGTTGGTGATGCGAGGTAGATTTTACCGCTTCTATATAGTATATATCGAACAAAACCGAAAATGATTCTGCGTCGTTCTCAGGTCGATGACCATTTGGAGTATGGTCTTGCTTTTTCAGCTATATACAAAATGTTTTTTTTGGAAAAATTTTCAAGCGCCTTCTTTTTTCCAAAAGGGTGAAAGTTAATTCAAAAGAATTTATCAGAATGACTTTTTTTTTTTTGAATACTCCTTTTTATCGTCTCTTGTCTAGAGTATTTTCCCATATAAGGTCTCTATATATATGTGCGGTAACGTGTGGACATAGGTACATGCGCTACGTGCATGTTTAAGTAAATATCTCCCGCAGTATTTGCACCAGCAAGCCTGAAACCGAGATAGCCGATGATTAATGATCCTTCTTCTCGGTTTATTAACGATGTGCCCATCCAGACGAGTATTGTCTACGTATTTTCATGCCCAACTTTGTCAAAAAAAAAAAAAATGTCAACGATTTTTTTTCCAAATTCTAAACATTTGAAGCGCTATGTGAAAAATATTTAGTCAGATTAACCAAAATTTTGTTGGTATTTATAAGCAAACCAAAACTACTTTTTTTTTAAGTCGACCAAAAAATTTGATTCGGTATTTCCTGTTGGCATAACAAAAATGTTTAGTTAGTTCAAACAAATTTTTTTTTGAGCGAATTAAATTATTTGATTGGGCTAATTAAATGTTAATAATTCTACGACTTTGTTTCAGCTAACCAAAATTTCGTTACAAAAACTAAAATTGCCTATAATCAAACGATTTTGTTGCAGGTAAAAAATCTTTTTTTGATAGGGAAAATTCTTTTTCAAAAAATCTAAATCCACTGTATAGTGTAGAAAAATTATTTTTCTCAAAATAATCTATATACAGAAAATACATTTATGGAAGTTTTGTATGGAATTCCTCTGGAATTTAATAGGATAATTTTCATGGAATTTAGAGATATATATATATGGTACTTTCTGCGGAATCTTTCTACGTTGTTAATTATTATATAAATCAATTATGAAAATCCCATTAAATACCAATTTTCATTTTGGAAACTATGAAGTAAATATCTTCGTTCCTAACGAGTTTCTCGTCACATTATCGATTCATATATATATATACCGCGCCACAAGGCATAAATAAACGGTAACTCAATCCGATAATAGTCATATACGCACAGTCAATTAAGATGAGCGTTATAAGAACCAATTAAACCCCAAATGGTAGTTTATGTTACTTATTTACGAGGTAAAATTATGCCTTTTCGAAGTCTCTTGTTGCTCGCTATTTAGAGCCTTTTAGATAAATAAAATCTCTTTTCAAATACTAATTCAAAACCTTCTTTTTTCTTATTCAGAGTAAGTAATTCTGTAATTAGAAGAAAAAAAAATTAACACAATCGGTATTTAGAGTCATAAACTACGATAATAAAATGAAAAAAAAAAAATAATAATTGTTTCGTATAACTTAATTGAAAAGTAGATTGAAATTTAATACGAAATGGAAAATCAGATTTCTCGTTTAACTGACATTTTTATTTTCTACGAACGATTCTTAGTCGAGCTATAGATCGTAAAAAAATAGTGTTTCATAGCCGGCGAAGAATATTGGAAAGGCGTTTTCGTTCGCGCCATTTTCAATCGGGAATTTTAATCTGCACACTGACCGTAGACCAGTTTAAATACAAGCGAAATATATATATATATATATATATATATATATATATATATATATATATATATATATATATATCTGTGTATAGGAAGCCTCTCTTTGGACAGGCGGACAAGAGAGAAAGAGAGAAAGAGAGAGAGAGAGAGAGAGAGACCTCGGTGCAACATCAATTCCCTCAGAAAAATAAATCGTACGCGAAACAAACACATTCGACTGAAAAATTATTGTTCGCACACACTCGAATGAGATCGATGCTGAAATAGAACAATTGTTTGCCAGCTGCAGAAAAAGACCTATTGCCTGATGAATGAACCCGTCCTTTACAAGTTTACAAGATACTTTACCTTGACTTCTCATATGTCACTGAATTCATTTTTCACATTATATAATAATAAGAAATGCCAATAATAAATTTTATTTTATTTATGACAAATAAAATTTTTATTTAATTTTATTCTATTCATGACAAATATATTTCAATTAAATAAAAAAAAGTTATTAGGCTCTGCTACAAATGTTTATTTAACTAAAATATATTACATTTGTTTTAAATATGTAAATGAATAAAAAATTAACAAAATGTTTTAAAAAAATCAAAAATAAAAATATAAAAAATTACAGACCTAGAAATCTACTTTACCGACTGATGGTAAAACAGGGTTTTTTTTAAAGAAAATGATAATATAACAAATTACCGACCCAGAAATCTACCTTACCAACTGATGGTAGAGAAATACTTTGAAAAATGAAAATATAAAAAATTATCGACACAGAAATCTACCTTACTGACTAATGGTAACGAATTTTTTGAAAATTTTATCCACTTTTTCAAAACTGTTTTACCATCAATCGGTAATTTTTTTATATACACAAATCTATTTTACCATTAGTCGGAAAGGGAGATTTCTAGGTCGGTAATTTTTTATATCAGCATTTTCCCCCCAAAAATCCTGTTTTACCATCAATCGACAAGGTAGATTTCTATGTCGGTAATTTTTTATATTAGCATTTTTTAATAAAAGATTTCTCTACCATCAGTCGCTAAGGTAGAACTCTTTTCTCTAGGTGATAGTTTACATTAATTTAACCAAAATTAAATATCTAGTTAATTTAAACAATGAAAATTTAAAACAGATAATTGGACAATTAATTAAAATAACAAACAGAATTAAAAATTTTTATTAATCAAAAACAATATTACAACAAATTTCACTAAACTATTTATTTACTTAAAGTAAAATTGAGTTTTAATTTTTAGAATATATATATATATATATATATATATATATATATATATATATATATATATATATATATATATATATATATATATATTGTTTATTTTATCAAATGAAAAATTCTGGTAAAAAAATTGAATGTATCAATTATTTATAAACCGCATCTGTTTTATACGAGCAAACAAATAAAAGCTCGTTTCAACTGAATTCACTTTTTTTTCTAACCCATTTTTTAAACGTATTGGAATTTTTTTTTTTCTAAGACACCAAAAATATCCCAATCTACTAATAAATCAGATTTCTCAATAAAAAATCCATTTTTCACAGATAAGAACATGCCTTCCTTTTTTTTTTGTTTTCGTATTATTATTAGTCAATGGTATTTTAATAAATATAAGTGGAGAATTTTCATTTTTTATTGAATTGCTTTTTGAATCCATTATAATGATTAATTCTCTCTGGTTAGTGACATCGAATGATGACATTATGGGAGGAGAAAAAAAGCATTTAATGAAATCAATAGCAATTAAATTGAAGGGAAATTGTAGACAAATTTTTTTTTGTAATTTCTACATTTTTTATTTGATTTCAATTCTTTTTTTTGTTTTTTTTTTTTTGAAATCGATTTTATATTTGTTCCACATTAGATTATTTTTATAGAAATTCTTTAATTTTTAATTTCAATCTTTTTTATATATAAAAAAAAAATTAGAAAATAAAATGTTTATTAAGAAACACACTAATTATGACCCACTGCAAAGGGTGGCTTGTCTCTTGTGTGAAGAAAGAATTTTCCCTTGAATTTAAAATTTTTCTTTATCCCACCCATGAGTGCAATTTCGCCATTACATTTTTCTTCTTGATACGAATCATAGTCATCGCATTTTTTTCCATAAAATCCATCTTTACTTAATATTGATTCAGCATAAAGTTGAATTGCACGCTTGTGAGAACAAATTCCAAATACATCGATAAGACAGCCAATTTGTGAAATACCACCATTTGGATAAAAATCAGCGTCACCAATATCTGTTTTATAACCTAGATAACCTGCGTTTGTGTGAATAATTTCCACATTATCAGCGTCATTTGATGATATTCTCGAACCTTCAGACGCTGTTCCAAAAAGAGGCCATGCAGGATCAAGGCCTAGCAAAAAAAAAAAAAAAAAAAAAAAAAAGAAAGAAATTAAAATAATTTACAGTTGGCAATTTATATTATTTATTATATTTATTTTTTATTATTATTATTTTTTTAATTTATTTATTTAAAAATATGAGAGAAGCAGGCGCATGGCATCTTCATCGCAGAGTTTCGTGGCCGATATTAATATTACCGTTGCTAAGGAAAAACAATCCTCAGCAACGGTTGTCACGGAAACGGTTGCTATGGAAACTGTTGCTATAGAAACATTTGTCATGGAAACGGTTGCTATGGAGACGGTTGTCATGGAGACGGTTGCTATGGAAACGGTTTTCATGGAAACGGTTGCTATGGAGACGATTGCTATGGAAACGGTTGTCATGGAAACGGTTGCTATGGAAGCAGTTGCCATGGAAACGGTTGCTATGGAAACGTTTGTCATGGAAACGGTTGCTATGGAAACTGTTGCTATAGAAACATTTGTCATGGAAACGGTTGCTATGGAGACGGTTGTCATAGAGACGGTTGCTATGGAAACAGTTGTCATGGAAACGGTTGCTATGGAAACTGTTGATATGGAAACGGTTGCTATGGAAACTGTTGATATGGAAACGGTTGTCATGGAAACGGTTGATATGGAAACGGTTGCTATGGAAACGTTTGTCATGGAAACGGTTGCTATGGAAACTGTTGCTATAGAAACTGTTGCTATAGAAACGGTTACTATGGAAACAGTTGTCATGGAAACGGTTGCTATGGAAACTGTTGCTATAGAAACTGTTGCTATAGAAACATTTGTCATGGAAACGGTTGCTATGGAAACGGTTGTCATGGAAACGGTTGCTATGGAAACTGTTGCTATGGAAACGGTTGCTATAGTAACTGTTACCATGGTAACCTACGGACGAACGCCAAAGCTAAAGTATAAGAATTTCGGGCCTGAGCCACAAAACCCTAAAAATAAAGTTTTATTAATAATTAAATTTTCGATTATTACCAACAATGTAATTAATAATATTTAAAGAATGATATCCTGCTAGGCCCATAACATGCGCTCCAAGAGAATGGCCAACAAGTGTTGTCGTTGATGTATCCAATCCTTGTGTTTGTAGAAAGTCAATCATAGCAGCTACATACATACCAATTTTTTTTACTTGATACGATGCATAAATATATTCGCCCTTTGAGATTCTGCTCCAGTCAATAACAATAACGTTATAATTTCCCTGTTCCAGAAACGCTGAAAAAAAAATTTATTTATTTACTTATTATTATTTATTTTAATTATTATATATATATATATATATATATATATATATATATATATATATATATATATATATATATATTTTTAATTTCTTTTGTATATTTATCTTTGATATTATTTGGCCTTATTCTTGAGAAAAAAATTAATATTTTCATTTTTTTTTACCATCTTTAATAAGAGTGCATGCTGGACTTTTATAGCTATTGGTCCATCCATGAGTGATAAATCTTGTTGGTCGTTTTGAATTAAAATTACTCTGCGTTAATGTAACATTATCATTGAGATAGAGCCATTGAAAATTTTCAATATTTTCTCTTGTATAGAGTAGAAAAAAAACATAATTCTCGAGATTCAAATTTAAATTAACATCACCAGACATAAGGAGACTTTTATTTAAAGTAGCTTCAATTAAATTGTCATAATCATCAAAAAACCATAATCCTTTATTTTGAAATATTTTTGTGTCCTCATTCTCAAATCGATAGATATCATCATCAATGAATGTTGATGATTTCACAACATGACATTTTCCTATACAGTTTTAATTTTACAATTAAAAAAAAACAAATTTCTTTTTTTAATTAAAAATAATTATTAAAATTTTCAAATTATTGTTTTTTTTGGGATGAAAAAATTTAAGAACTTTGAACAGATAAAAAAAAAAACTCACCAATTGTCACAATAATAGTGAAACAAGAAAAAACACTAATGATTGTCATATTGTCATCGAAAGTCAACTGATCGAAGTGAGTGATTTGTTCTTTTAAATACAAAAAAACGATAGTCGAAATAAAAAGATAATTGTCTTACTATACACTCTCTTCTGTCATCTTTTTATTAAGTTTTAATGCTTTTTTGACGTGAGTGCCAACAACAATGCGCATCATTCAATAATAATGTTTCCAATGGAAGTAACAAATTTTTATTTCCGTTAATTAATTCTTCAAAGATTTTTATCACTGACCGAGTTGATAAATTTTTTTCCTTTCACATTCCTTCCCTCTTATCTTTTATTTAGTAAAAAATTTAATTTTCCTTTATATATTAAAAAATAAAATTTTACTTAATTCAATTAATCGATATACTTGACTATTATCAAATAAATATAATTACTTTAATCAAATAAATATTTACTTGAACCAAATAATTTTTTACAATCAAATAATTGAATTAAATAAATTATATTTGAATTATTTTCTTTATTTGAAACAAATAAAATTTAATTGCCACAAAAATTATTTGGTTCATATTTATTTGAAAATAATCAATTATAATCGATTACTTGAATCAAATAGATTTTTTTTTTCAGTGAAAATATTTATTTTTATTTTATTATTATTCCATTATTATTTTATAATTTTTCTATTATTTTATTATTAATTATTATTTCTATTTAAAAAAAAATAATAATATTAAAATTCCTGGATTTAAAACAAAAAAAAATTTCTTTCATTTCCAAAAACAATTCTAAGAAATCAATTTTATTTTTCATTAATTTGGATTGTGTGTCAACGCGATAAACGAGTCTCTAAATCGCCGATTGATTGATTGATAGCAAATATATTTCCTACTTTTTGAAATGCTTTTGATAAATAATAATCAATCAGTATCGGATGTTATTACAAATTTTTTTTTATTAACAAAATCTTGAGAAATCAATTAAATATTTTTTTTTTTTTAGTGAATTGGACATTATTTTCTTCGAACTTGAAAAATATATTTCAAAAATAAAATGAATTTTTTAATAAATAAATTAAAAATTAAATTTCAAATCAAATTTTTGCCCAAAAGAAAAATTTCTATATTTAATTAACTTCATACTCAATATTTACCATGAGTTTTTATATGAGTGAAGTTAACGAGAATATATAAATTTTTTTTCTGTAGCAAAAAATTTTTTCAAAATGGAAAAAAAATGTAAAAATTGCATTTTTTTCAGTGTGGAATTTTTTTTTTTTTTTCTTTCTTTTTTTTTGAGCTTCTTTGATATAAATAATCGTCTAGGTTATCACGAAATTGCGCGTAGGCGTCTGTAAGACTATGCTGAGGGTGCGGGCGCTTGCGTGAAACTCGAAAATGAGGGTCTCGTCAAAGGGGCGGGAGGGTGGCTAAAGTTGAGGGTGAGTTTGAGGGGGGGGGGGTGGGGTTGTTGGAAGCGAGGGCGCCTGCAGTGACTAGCCTCCATCGATTTACCGTGCGACGCCATTTTGCCACCCTACACTCAGGGTTGAACACCCCCTGCCCCATCTCGTTGAGGCAGTCGACGTTTTTGAAAAATGACTCCCAAAGTCATCAACCAACCCGGGGCTCTCTCAATAAAAGTGCCAATTTTTCGTTGTTTATTTCAATTTTCTCACTCAAAAAAAAAAAAAAATAAATAAAAGTAGAAACTATTTTTTAAATTAACACTTTTCTTTTATTAATTAATATATCTTAGTTTTCAAAAATTCTATTTCTATTTTTGTTTAAAAAATGTTTTTTTTTTTTTTTTTTTTTTAAATTTAATTTTTGCCATTGAACACTTTTTCAAAGTGTTGAAATCACGCGAGTCGCGTGATTTGCACATAATGTGTAAATACCATCGGCGGCTTTAAGCAAAACGCTCGCGCGGCTCGAATTCACACACAATCGGGAAAACAGATAGATAATGGAAACGAGTTGCGAGAGAGAAAGATTTCAATCGCCTATATACCAATCCACGAATGGACAATGCCGAGTATTCGAGAACTCTGGAGCGGTCGATCGGCTCTCGATTATCCCAAAAAGATTTTTTGTTACCCCCCCCCACCCCCTCCTCTCACCCCCTTACCTTTCAACTCACCGACCTGTCGAGAGAAGATTAAATGCGTGTCTATACCTTTCAGGAAGTAACATTTTCAAAAACCTTTTTTTATTTTTGTTAATTACTCTTAGATTATTAGTTTGTTAATTAAATTTTTTTTTTAAATTATTGACAATTAGTAAATTACTAATTAATAATTATTAAATAATTATTAAATTAATAATTAATAACTAATAAATTAGTGAATTACTAATTAGTAATTAATAACTAATAAATTAGTGAATTACTAATTAGTAATTTACTAATTTATTTCATTTTAGTAATTTACTGAAGAAGAAGGGACTGAAGAAGAAAAAAATTATAGGTTATGTTTTGAAATTTTCAAGTGAAAATACACGATAAGTTTCACTGGAATAGAGAAATGTTTCATTAAAATAGCAAAATTTTTTTTTTTTTTTTTTTCTAATCTAGAGAAAAATATTGCTGTTCCAGATAAAGATTTTTTTCCTTGTGTAGTAACAAAAAATGCCAATATTATTAAAAGTTTTTGATAAATTCCAATATTTAAAGATTAATTGATATTGATAAAAGAAAACAGAATGAAGCAACATATCAAGATTTAAAATTATATTCTGATAAACTATAGAAACGTGATTAGAAATTATACAATTACATTAAATATCGATAATTAATTTACTTCTAATATATACCAAAAAAAAAAAAATAATTTTTTACAAAAATATTGATAATTATTGATAAAAATTATTTTTTAAAAATATTGCTGAATTTTTTTTTTAATATAAGGAAATTTTTTATTTGTTATGTAACATTAATTTTTTCGTTATGTTTTTCTATGAGTTACAACACTGCTATCGACTATCTGACCATCAAAATGTTAAATATATATATATATATATATATATATGTTATCGGGAAATTTGTGTGAAATTTACAGAAGAATGATATGTTCAGACTATATCGAAATTGAAATAACTTTTGTTAACATTTTAACAATAATGTTTATTAAGAGTCAAGAACATTTGAGTTATTTAAATATAATTATTATTTACATCGATACTATTTAATTAATCGTTTCCCGAAACAATATTTATACAAAAGAATTAATTATTGACATGAAAAACAGAATAAATTACACAATATTAAAAAAAAAAAAAAAAATATTTGATTTAAATAATCGATTACTCTATTATCAAATAAATATTTATATGATAAAAATAATTATTTATTTGATATTAGTAAAGTAACCGATTATTTGAATGATGATAAAGAAATTTTTGGAAAAAAATTAAAATTACCGACACAGAAATCTACCTTACCAACTGATGGTAACAGCGCCACTAATTTAACTAGTGATGATATTGACGGTCGGTAATTCAGAAATCTACATCAAAATTTTATTATTTATGTACCTTTGAAGTTTTCGATTTTTGACACCGTAGGAATATAATTTCCCAAGAGTGGGAATAATTCTCCTTCGTGGTTCTTATAGCATCAATATTGTGTTGTAAAAAAAAAATGGAACTTTCACCTGATGCTAATTGAAATATCATGGCAATGCGACGAATGCGTATATCATCAACAAAGAGAAAGAGAATGAAAGAGAGAGAGAGAGAAAGAGAGACTAGATGAGTGGAGTAAATTGAAGGGGTTAAGGGAGGACAATATTATATAGGTGTGGAGATCGGGCATTCATCCAGGCCAAGATGGATCCTTCACAGCTAGATTTAAAAAAGCAGAAACCCTTCTCGAACCCCGACTCCTACCCTTCGAACCAACTAGCTTCCTGCGACAAGCGCGGGGGTGGCTTTGGCGATCTCTATATAACTGATGGTGCTTCTGAGTGTCACGACCAGGCTGTCCACTTCTTTGTGCCTGTATTTGTGTGTGCCCCTCTATAGAGTACTCTCTCTCTCTCTCTCCCTCTCGTTCTCTCTGTACTTGTGAGTATATGGCGATATAGTGACGTACTTGCAATGCGAGCAGACACTGGCAACCATCTATACCCCCTGGATATCGTTTCCTATGCTATATATATATTTATATATATATGTATATACGCCAAAATGTAGGCGGAGGACAGTCCGTTTCCTGCACGTGTTTGTAACGATATGTCACACTATGGCAATTCTGCGGCATCCAACATTCGCTCCGATGAATAAACTAATAAAGCACAAACTCGTCAATTCTTGACTGTAAAAAAGTGAAAATTTTACTGATCCACAATAATCCATACACTTGTTGGAAATTATCAAACATTCATTTTAGAATCAAATCTTTGATGATTAGAGTCAAAATTCCATTGGTATATTATGAAGCTAATATCGCGTCTCCATCGCAGGATTTTGTGGCCATTATTAATATTACCGTTATGTTAAGGAAAAAAATGGTAACGGTTATCCTGGTAATGAAAATAAATTATTTTCTATTAGAATTTCATTAAAATGAATTTGGTGAAATTATTCATGAGAATTAAAATCACTTTTACCATATATTTAAAAAATTTTCATTCAAAACTATACTCATAAAAATAAAACAAATTCTAATTAATAAATCAAATACTTATATTATCGATCATTTCATTAATTTATTTTGCAAAAAAAAAAACTTTTACTACATAATTTAATTTTAATCCGATCATCCTTGTTTCAACTTCATTTTGAAATATCCAACTTATAATAATGTTCCCAAAAACCATATATTATATATGGTACGGTAAGTTGTACAAACTCCTAACTTGTTTAATTACCAACTTTGACCAATTTCCCTTCAAGCCTTCAAAATTCAACCCCAAAAAAAATAACGTTCTATTTCCGGAAATTGGTTTTCAAACTTTTCGTCTGTTTTTGGGTCACGTTTATGATTTTCTTTCATCCATAACTTGTATTTTGTTGAACACAAAAAAAAATTGTCACAGCAAACAAAACATTTATTGCTTTTAGTTTTTTCTTTATTTTCTTGTTAATTGGTTGATTAAAATAACAATTTTTTTTTTTTTTTGGGGGGGGGGTTGAAAAGATGATTTTGAAATGAGGTTTTTCCTCATCAGCTATATAAGATGTGATGAATTTTAACGATAAATGACATGACTCGTATTTTCGAGCGTCTTTTTTGCGAGAGAAAAAGAGAGAGTGAGAGACAGAAAGCCCACAAGGGTATTTTCCCCGGGAGCTCTATTAGCGCCTCGAATAATGATGAGTTTAAACATGG